GCTCAGGGAAGGGAAGTAGGTTCCTGTGATTTCACCCAGAGCAGCTCCAGTGGAGTGAAGGCAGACTTCAAAGGAGACTCCCAGAGAGGTTTAGGTTCTGCCTCGTTCTGTGTGGAAGTGGAGGGTGCTCAATGGGCTCCAGAAGAGGCATTTGTATTCTAGAACTCTCCATTCCTCCTGTTCCTTAAAGAGCAGCAGGTTTTATGCGACATTCATAGGGTCTCCCAGTGGGTGAACCACTTCCAGCCTCCCTTGGATGACTCTTTCCTGTCTCCATGCCTATCTCTGGCTTCCATTCCTCTTGTCCATCAGAGATCCTCTCATCCTCCTTGCCCTGCCACTGCCATCAGGGTTACCCCCAGGCTATAAAGCCAGTCTCCCCTCATGTTCATCTCCCCAAACTCTCGAGTTGACCTTGCCTGCTATCTCACAGGGGAACAGAGCCACACCCATGCTGTATCCCCAACTCTAGGTGACAGAGCTCTTCAAGTGGCCCTTCCCTGAGGTCTCTTCCTAGAGAAGACATCTGGTGCCATCAGGTACCGCCTTGCCTGTGCTGGCCAGGCCGGCCAGCCATCTTGTGCACCCTTGGCTGGTCTCCAACAAACACACTCAAGCAACTTGCCTGGAAAGGGTCTCTTATTTATTTGTTGGTCCTAGGCCTTGAACTCAGGGCCTGGGCTCTGTCCCTGAGCCTTTCTGTGCTCAGGGACAGCGCACACTTGAGCCACAGCACCATTTCCAGGGTTTCATGCATGCTAGGCAAGCATTTTACTACTAAGTCATATTCCCAGCCCCTGAAAAGGTTCTTTTCTGACACTATAACTCCTCTAGCTGTCTGCACCTCCCCTTCCTTACAGAATAAAACCTTGAAGATTCTTCTGTCCTCTTTCTAACCCTCACTCACTCCTCAGCCCAATATCACTGCCTTCTGTCCCTGCTACACATCTTATCCTTATCCTACTGGCTTCTCCTGCCATGACGTAGAAGCCCCTACCACCCACCAGGTCCCCTGTCATGGTGTTAAAGGTATGCTCAGCCCTCTGGATAAAAAGGATATGTTCAACACTCAATCCCGCTGGTATTACGTCTCAGGTCCACAAACCCAGCTCCAAAAGCTGAGCCTCTGTTTTCTCATCTGTCCAGTGGGGATCGTAACGGTGCTGTCTCAAAGGTCCATTATGAGGATTAAGCCAGTGAACTCAAGTAAGGAACTTCATTCACACATAGCAGAAGACATTAGCTGTGAGAGCTCTTGACTCCGTCCACTTCTCTCCATCTCTACCGAAGTCCAACTAGCCCTGCCTCCTCGACACCTCTGCTTCAGAGGACCCCTCTTGGCCTCATCACTGGCTAACCTTTGAGCTCTGTGGGGATCTCTAGGAATCCCATGCCACACCACACCTTCCCCGGTTGGAAACTCCATGAGTTTCTTTTAGCATGGACCCTCACCTTTTTCCTGCAATAAACTTTATCTATTTAAAAATTATTATAACAAGCCAGGTGCCAGTGGCTCATGCCTGTAATCCTAGCTACTCAGGAGGCTGAGATCTGAGGATCGTGGTTTGAAACCAGCCCAGGCAGGAAAGTACATGAGACTCTGATTTCCAATTAACTACCAGAAAATTGGAAGTGACACTGTGGCTCAAGTGGTAGAGCGCTAGCCTTAAGCTGAAGAGCTCAGGGACAGCACCCAGGCCCAGAGTTCAAGCCCCAAAACCGACAAAAAAAGATGTCATTATAACAAGTACTTAGAAACTGATTTTGCTTAAAAGCACCAATTCCTGGGGTACATAGGTTGACTAGAGTAAGTATAAAAAGCTCTGCCTCCCTGCCACCATCTTACATCTATCTTTGCTCTGAAACATCACTTTGGAGTCACCTTGGAATCCAGGAAGATTGGTATGGATGGATGGACAAACAGCTTTTAACAAAAGCAAAAACTACCCTCAGGCATAAAGCCTTTCTTATCACGAGTAGGGGCCACCTGGGCAGGCCGGAGATGAAGATCAACTCAGTTAAATTGTAGACAGGTCCTCACTAAGTTGCCCAGGGTGGTCTTAAATTCCTAGGCTCAAATGATTCTCTCATCTCAGTCCCTAAGATTGTAGGTTTGAGCCAGTATATCCAGGCTTGTAATTATTTTTGCAAGTGACAAATACTAGGAATGCCAACATCTCCCATAGTACTGCTCAGGATTTTTCATTCCAACAGCTCAACATAAAATCAGTTTTAATGAAAGAAAAAAGCATACAAGCTGGGCACTACTCAGAACCAGACCAGGCAGGAACGTCAATGAGCCTCTTATTTCCAATAAACTACTCAGAAAAAAGCCAGAAGTCATGCTGTGAGTCAAGTGGTAGAACACAAAGAAGCTCAGGGACAGTGCCTAGATTTTGAGGTCAAGCCCCAGGACTGGCCAAAAAAAAACCCAAAAACACGCAAGAATGGTAAGTTTTGCCATATGCGGGTGACTCCTGTCTCTCTAAATCTAGCTACATCAGGAGGCTGAGATCTGAGGATCATGATTCAAAGGCAGCCCAGACCTTTAGAAAAGACCCCAGGAGAGTCTTATCTCCAATTAACCACTCAAAAACCAGAAGTAGCACTGTGGCTCAAAGTGGTAGAATGTCTTTTTGGTTTTTTGTTTTGGATCGGAGCCTGGGCACTGCCCCCTGAGATCTTTTGCTCAAGGCTAGCACTCTACCACTTGAGCCACGGCACCACTTTCAACTTTTTCTGAGTAGTTTATTGGAGATAAGAGTCTCATGGACTTTCCTGCCAGGGCTGATTTCAAATAGCAATCCTCAGATCTTAGCCTCCTGAATAGCTAGGATTACAGGCATGAGCCACTACAGCACAACTGAGTTTTTAAATTCCTTCAAAAAACCCAATTACATTTTTTAAAAAATCAGAAAAATAAGGGTCCCCAAAACTTTTACACAGAACACCAAATCAGAATGGATTTTGCAGATCACCCCAAAATCTTGTCCACATGAATTTATTTATTTAGGTGACAATCCTAGGGCTTGAATCCAAGGCCTGTGTACTGTCTCTGAGCTTTTTTTTTTCTCTCAAAGCTAGCATTTCTACCACTTGAACCACAGATCCATTTCTACCTTTTTGGTGCTTAACGGGAGTTAAAAGTCTCACAGACTTTCCTGACTAGGCTGGCTTTGAACCATGATTCTCAGATCTCAGCCTCCGGAGTAGCTAAAAGTATAGATGTGAACACCAGTGCCCAAGCACAGGAAATTTTTGAACTGGAAAGCCTGGACTGCGATTCAGAGGGCCACACTTTGAAGGATACTACAAGTGGGCATTGGCACTACAAGACTACTGGAAGAGAGCAGAGTTTTCACTCTGCATCTCCAAGACTGAGTTCTTAAGGGAGGCACCATGCCCACTTTATTCCTGGTGCCTGCACACACCAAGTGTCTAGTGAAAGTTTGTGAAACTTAATCGTGCTTCCTGGGAGTACCCAGTTTGGTCCTAAAACTCCTACATGTTCTCCTGTGGGTTCTCTTTGGTTCTGGAGGAGGCTCTGGTCATCCTAGGGTACCCTCTGGTGCACGTTTGACTCCTAGCTGAGCTGGAAGGGTATTGATAATGACTGTTATTCCCATAGCAGTGCCTGTGTCACAGCCTCTTGCTTTACACCTGCCTCCCTTACAAACACACCATTATCTTTGTCTTCACATCTGCTCCTTCCACGATGCCTGAAGCACTCAAATTCCTCTGCAGCGGCATAATCTGCTCATCTCCCAACACTGATCACATCAGAGCACACCCCAACCCAAACGCTGGCCTCTTCATCCTGCTTGCTTTCCCCATCAGCTCGAAGAACTTTTCTTCCATGCTCGTCACAGTCATCCTTTACTCAAACCCCCCATGCCTCTGGCCTCTCCCAGGGAGACCACTTCTTCCTTCAGGGGCCGTCCCTTGGGCCCTCACCCTCTTTGTTTGCCCACTTCCTCTCTGGCTGTGGCTTCTCAGGTCCTTTGTAGATTCCCCTATAGCTTGTGCCCATTGCTGGCCATCTCTGAAGACTCTTTCCTGGGCCCCACACTCACTGCCTGCATGGTACAGAACAGAGTGGGATCTGGATCCTAGCAATGCAGCTTTCTCCTTCCCATCACTGCCCCCAGTGCCCTGAGGTCCAGTCTTCAATCACAGCATTGCCCTCTTCGCTTCCCTTGAGCACCCATCTCTCATCCCTTGCTAATTCCATCTCCTAAGCCTTCTAGGCCAGGCCCCTCGTGCAGCAACTGGTAACACTGCCTCAGTGGCCATCTTGAGCTCAACAATCTGTGCAACCAGAGGGACAGCCTGGGTCCTTCGGCAAGGTCTCCAGCAGGGATAAAGCCCCCCACAACGCAGGGCACAGATTGTGCTTCTATCAGACCAGTGAAAGAATGAGATCCTGGGGGCTGAGCTCCATCTACCACCCACCAGGAACAGGGTTAAGGAGTTTTCCAGAACTCAAGGGGCAAACCACTAAGACTAAATACCAGTAACCCAGTATCAGAAGGGGTGTGAGGACATGTACTCTGTGGGGGTGACCCCACACAGGTGGATAGCTGGCTGTGAGACAGGCTGCCAGACAAACCCTAGTCTGTTTCAGTAAGCTTCCACTTGGTCATCCACCACACCAGGCAGCACCAGGCAAGATAGGCAGTCTGGGTAAGGTCTTGTGAAGCAAGCAGTCTAGGCCAGCTCAGACCCAGCCTGTCTTACCTGTCAGGAGGTCTTCCTCAAGATACCCCTTTCCCCATTTTGCTGATCTTGAGTACCAGAAAGTGATAACTGTGATAAAGTGTGGTTTTCTATGGAGGTTCCATGCCAGATAAAGATCCTTCTGATGCCCTCCCCCCCCTCGTCTCCTCCCCTTTCTGCCCCCATCCCACCTCTTCTTCCCCCTTCCGTCTTCGGTTTGGGACTTATATAAGGCAGGGGCTGTGGTGGACTCTTCAGAAGACGAAGGACGAGGACAAGGCAGAATGCAGCCTACACGCCCCAACTCGAGCAGACTCCAGATTCTGCTCTTGCTACTGTTCCTGTTCCGTTCTGGGTTCCAAGCTCCCACCACGCTTCAAGATACCACCCAGCCATCTTCCAACTCAAAACCCGTGAATTGCAGCTGGTTGGTCATTGAACTTGAACACCTGATAGATAACAAATCTTCAGAAGTGAGTAGCAGGAACAAGGCTGGGCTGGGGGAGGGAGGGACGCGGGGTTTACTCCTAGTCTACAGCTCTTACAACTCTTTCTTTCTTGGTGTTCCTACAACAGCCCATCATCAGCGAATTCGAGTTACAACTGATGGTAAGAACTCAGCTCCCTACTTGGGCACACCTGGGTACCAATTATATGCCTCCCATTTGGTGATGTCAGTCTTGTTATTCCACCTTACCTAGCCTCCATATATATTTTTTAATCTGTTAAAAAGTGTCTATCTCGGTGGGCTTGCTATGAGAATTGATGCAAAGTGCCTAGTGTGCCCATATCTGTACTTGGTCCCAGCCATGGCTATAAATAATGAAAGCTGGTTTTCATGTTGTTAAGTGAAAAGGCAGCTAGCTGTAGAGGCTGAATTTTTGGTGGGGCATTCCCTGAGCTGGCAGACTAGAATTTTCCCTGCTGCCTTCCTTTCCTTTTAACAAAAAGGAGTGTTTTCCGTTCTCATTTGCACTTATTTTGTTGTGGTTCTAGTCAGTTGCCATAGCTCTGTCTTGCCTTTGTCTGATGGACATAGGTGGTGTCAAACAGGAAGCTGAGGTGTTTCCCGAGTTTACTGGCCATCTGCATTCTCTTCATTGGAGATGCTTGCAAGCTCACATGCTGTACCCCTCCCCACGCTGAAGTGCTTGTGATTTTCTTCCTGATTTCTGGGAACTCTTAGTTCAGTTGAGGCATTCACCTTGACATCTGGCTTCATAGCCACCAGTATTTCTCTGGGGCAACTCTGCCTTTTCCACAGATGCTTTTGGGAGATGTATTTTTCTCAAGTACAGAAAGATCCAACTAGGTCCTTTATGCAGCTCATATACATGGAGCCAGGAGCTGAGGCTTTGTACTTAGGGAGAAACAGGTCCTGACAGGGTGTATATTCACTTCTAGGCTCGTGCCTTGTGGCACAGTTTAGGAACTTACCTGGGGTAAAGAGGGAATGAGGAGCAGGTTATCCAAAGATGCCCCTAGCAGCAGGCTCAGAACACTGAGGATGAGCAGCGTGGCCATGGGAACAGCACTCTCCAACTCCCCAGCTCTTATGTGGTTTCTTTGTCCTTTTAGGATACATCCCTGCTAAAGCCCAACCTGTGTGCATTCCTGGAAGCTGCAAAAACATTGAATGATGTCACGAACATAGAGAGGATCAGGAAAAATCTTAAGGTATGTGAAGCTGTGGAGGATTTTGGGAACCCCTGCCTTGGCCCTTCCCATACTCTGCAGAGGAAGGTAGCAGGGCTTGCTTCTTGAAGAAACTTTCTGACTGTCTTGCTTTGATCTCTTCCCACAGACACTTCGACAGTGCCTGCCTGAAGCCACTCCCCTTCTGATGGTAAGATGTTCCTCTAGATGCCCCCGCAGGTGGTCCCTCACCCATAACCCCCATCATCACCCTTGACAGCCAGCATTCTTCTAATACTATTTTTCTGGCTCTTCACAGGGAGGACCCATTTTCATCACCGAAGATGACCCCAATGATTTCCGGAAGAAACTGAAAAGCTTTGTGAGAGTCCTTTCTGAACAGACGGAGGAGACTCTGAGCTTTAGAAACTCCTCTGTGACACCCACCGCTGCCCCTGGGTCTTCTCACCATGAGTTGGTGAAATGTTGAAAACGCAGCACTGGAAGTTTCTGGGTGTCTTTCACACAGTCCAGGACTAGAAGGGTATTATTAGTTGTCTCCTGTGATGTCAGATGAATCATTAATTTATCATTAATTTATTTCTGAAATGCACAGCTTCCTTTTGGTCTTCTATAATGATATTCTCATTTTTACTCCAGCAAGGCCGTTTATTTATCTATTTATCTATTTATTATCTTCTGCAATGTGCAGTATATTTATTTTTGCAGAGGAGTCACATCTTGCTTCTTCTGAAAAAAAAATTCCAAGGGAGCCTGAGGGGAGTGCTCATTTGTTCTTCATGTTTCTAGATATGAGTGAAAATAAACCAGATTTTGAACAAAATGCTTGGTTCTGAGTATCTTGATTTGGCTCAGTCTTGTTGACCGTTCTAGATGGCTTTTATTACTGACCATTCTAGATGGTTTGTGTGCTGTCAGTACACTGAGCTGCAGTGTGGATGTGTCCAGGTGAGCTAGGCCCACAAGTCCCTACAGCCACCCCATGCTCAGAGCAATCACAGGTAGCCACAGAGCTCTCAGGCATTACTCTAAGCATTTTACTTGTAGTGGCTTTAACTTATTTCTCACCCCAGCTGAGAGCATGTTATTTCTGTTTTATGAGAATAGTTGCATGGTTAAGCAACTTTCCTAAGTACAACAGCTTGAAAACTATACTGGTAGGATTTGATTCAGGCTAGGTCCTTGAGCATTTAAATCTTGTGAAATGCTTCCCCAAGTGGTCACTTTAGAAGTTGCAATAGTACCACAAGTCCTAGCAGCAAACAAGCCCTGCCTGAACAGCCAGCTCTCTGGATAACAGGCCATCCAGATCCAGGGACCCCACCCCAGCCTGGGCCCCTGCTCTCTTGCCTGATAATTTGGCAGCCCTAGTAGACCATCTTGCTGCAAAGACTTGATGGTAGAACACAAATCCTGGCAAACTGTAGTCTACTGGGGAGGGAGCCAGACTGCACTTTAAAAACTGCAACTCAAAAAAAAAAAGGGGGGGGGGCTGGGAAGGTGGCTCAGTGGTAGAGCGCTTGCCTTGCATGCCTGAGGCCCTGGGTTCGATTCCTCAACACCACATAAGCAAAAAGAACAAATCCAGAAGTGGCGCTGTGGCTCAAGTGGTAGAGTGCTAGCCTTGAGCTGAAGAGCTGAGGGACAGCACCCAGGCCCAGAGTTCAGGCCCCACGACCGGACCCAAAAAAAACCCAAAAAACCTGCAACTCTTACTATATTGGTTTGATATTTAGTTCCTCGATCCTTAGCTTATTCTGGGCTCTGTCTACAGGTCTATATCCTCAGAGCCTATCTCTTATCTGTGGACTCCATTTCCCCCCATGGCTTTCAGCTTCATTAATGGTCCAGCCAAAAGAAGTGCTATGTGTGGTCTCTTAACTACGCAGCTTTGTCCATATCTCTAAACCCTTCACTCACCTTCAGCTCAGGAAGGCAAACCTCCTTCTAGATCCACAAGATGAGATCTTACTTTATAGAGACCTACCTCTGGCTTGTTCACACTGACTACAACAAGGACAGGCAAATATGAACTAGCCTGGATAGCTTGTGTTTGGATACCGCTAAGCACGGCTCAGTTGCTGCCTGACCTTTTGACCATGTGTTCCTTTCTGTATGGAATCAATGTACCCTACCTGGAGCACCTCCTACGGGGGCGGAGTAAGTCTTCCTGGTGCTGAGGTGCAAGCAATACTATCCTCCCTGACTCTTCATGAGTCCCACAAAGGACTGGGGTACTGATACCAAGACACTGGGGAACCTATCCTCCTTTTGTCCACTTTTGTATCTTGATCCATTCTTCCCCTGGATTTGTAAGTAAGGAACTAACTGGTTGGCTTGAGTGGAATAGGAGGTAAGAGATTTACTGGGATGTTCCCGAGAAGGAATTCTCTTTTCTCCTTGTCCCCTCTCTCCTCATCCTAGCCCATTGTAGTTAGGGGAGGGGTAGGAGAGAGAAGGGGACAGACAGGACATCCCCAGGGAATATTTATTGTTAAACATGATCCCTGGAGGAATTGAAGATGTACTGCAGTTTCTAGAAGTACCACGAGGTGGAGCGCCTTCCCTGGTCTGTGGTTGTACCAATTCTGAAGAGAGCAATGTTGAGAGAAGCTGAACTCTAAGACAGGGTTTTCCAAGTTTCCTGCTGAATTCCCCCCTTCCCTCCCCATCCCACCTGCTCTCTCCCTCCCTGCACCTCCCAGCTGGCACTATTTTCCTCCTGGCTGAGGCAGCATTTAGGTACCACTCCACGTTCCCATGAGTCACTGCTTGTCACTCTTCACTGGAGAGAGGGGTCAGAGCAATTGTAGTCTTTCTGCTTTAAGCCCTGGGACCCAAAAGCCAGTGGTGAGCTGGGACCAGTGCATACTGACTCACAGAGCCAACTGTTAAAAAAAAAAAAAAAAAGGCCAACCAGTTATCAGAAGCTTGCCATTGGTCCTGGTGGGAGTAATTACATAACAGAAATCACCAAGCCTCGGAGTCTGTTCATCTACCTGATATAAAGTATGGACAGGTAATCAAGTAGTGTACTGTTTTGCTGTTGCCTGGAAATCTACCTCCCCCCCCCTTTCTTTTGCTGGTCCTGGGGCTTGAACTCAGGGCCTGGGGCACTGTCCTTGAGCTTCTCTGTGCTCAAGGCTAGCACTCCACCACTTGGGCCATAGCACCAATTCCAGCTTTTTTCTGTTAATGTGGTACTGAGGAATCGAACTCAGGGCTTCATGCATGCTAGACAAGCACTCTACCACTAAGCCACATTCCCAGCCTGGCAATTCCCTTCTTAAAGGACCCTATATTAAAACTCACAGTCCTTGGTCTTGGAACCACATTCTTCTCACTGCAGGCTGAATGGAGCTAAATATTCCCTCCAATGCCTTGTGCTCAGTCAATGCATTGGCTGAGTACCTATGTGACAGGCCCCCTATTGGACACTGGGGGTACAGCAGCAAATGGACAGGTGGGGTGGAGTCTGGAGGTTGCTATTTTATTTGTTTATTGCTGTACTTGGAACTGAACCCAGAGCTGTACACTTGCTGGACAAGTGCTTTAAGCCATGCCTCTAGCCCTGGGAGATTGTCTTATATAGGGCTATCTGGGAAAGTGTCTGGAGGAAGTGTCATGTAGGCTGAGACCAGATTAAGAAACTGCCAGACATGTGACAATTACAAGTGATAGGTCTCCGAACAGAAGGAATAACAGAGACTGAACCTGGCTGAGAGTATCCATGCAACAAGAGATCTATGATGGGAATGAAGTCTGGTAGAACGCTTACCACTCTCCTTCAGTCTCTCTCCCTTCCATTCCCTATCCTGGCCATGGAAGGCTGCTAAGCAATGTGTTAGGCAGCTGATGCCTGCAGTTGGCAGGGGTAGAGGTGGGATCAGACACAAACCCAGTGCAGGGAGAGGAACCCGTATAAAGCAAGGTCATATAGACAAGAGCTATGGTAGAAGAGGGAGTATGGGTGGAGGTACCACTCTGAGGTGGGAGAGATGATCTCCTGTCTTCAGATATTCTGGTGGTTCACCATTGTCCTCTGGTATTGTTTATTCTGCATTCTAGAGCCAGGCTGGGGTTAGGGATGACCTGGCCAGGTCCACTCAGGCTTACCCTTGACCTCAACCCTCAGACCCTGCTGAGGGCACCAACACAGCTCTGGACTGGAGCCCAAAACCACTTAGTGGCCAGTTCCTGGTCAGGCTGAGGAAATTTCTACATGCTGTAGACTGAAGCTGAGTGTTTATATCCTCTGAGAGGCCTATGTTGAACCTAATCTCCAAGGCAATGGAATTTGAAGGCGGGGCTTTGGGGTAGTGCTTAAGCATGAGAGCAGAGCTCTCTCAAATGAGATTTAATGTTCCTAAAAAGGGGGGGGCCTGATCCAGTGGCTCATGATTGTAATTCTAATTACTCGGGCTCACATCTAAATGATATCTAAAGGGTCATGGTTCAAAGCCAGCCTGGGAAAAAGCTAGCCTATCTCTTCTCCAATCCTATGCCGTTTTCTGCGCTATCTATAAGGTCAATTAATCTAGTTGGCACCAGGGGGCAGCAAAGCTCCATCGTGAATCCTAGGATGTCTTCAAGGCCGGCATGCCTACCTCCCACACCTAAGTAGACTATACCAGTCTACTAGAATTTTCTTTTTTCTTTATGCATTTATTTTTGTGCTGGTCTTGGGGCTTCAGATTTTTGGGGGCTCCAGGATAGCACTCTACCACTTGAGCCACAGCCCCACTTCAGCCTTTTTAGTGGTTTACTGGAGATGGTCGAACAGACTTTCCCACTGAGGCTGACTTTGAACCACAATCCTCAGATCTCAGCCTCCTGGGTAGCTAGGATTATGGGCATCTGGCTTCATTTTAAATTTAAAAATAGAATGTTTCACTGTGATGGCAAGTTTGTAGAATATTTATCTTCCCACTAAAGACTTTGGAGATGCACAAATGGAACAAGGAGAAAATTGCCAGAGTGGCAAATATCTGGGGAAGGCAGCATCAGAGAGGCTGTGCTAAACGCACCCCATCCTGGCCTCCAGTCCCATTTGAAGCAGTGGAACAAACCCCAAGAACTTCTATGCTTCCCCATGCTGAGGCTAGGGCCTTTTACTGTGTTGCGTTGGCTGGCGCAGCATAGAGGATTCTTTAGACTAAATGGGTGATGGGTGAGTATGGATCTTGTCAGAGGTGCTTCCTACCAAGAGCAATGGACAGGGCTCTTGGGAGAAGAGTTTTAGTCTATTAGGCTTGAGTAACCTAGTAGGGTTGGGTGCCAAGTGACCAAAATAGTGGAGGACCCGTCCATGTGGGTCTTAGACCCCTTGTGGGTCTCAGCTGGTCCTTCTTTTCTCGATTCTTCCTTCCCTTACCCAGGCTATCCAAGTCTGCATGATCTCCTTGGAGACAGAAAGCCTGATGACTATGGGGGAGGGGGCAGGGGAGTGAAGGGTACACACAAGGAAAA